ATATCGGCTATTCATTCCGAGAAATGAGGTTGGGAATCTCGATCCAGCCGCACGACCTCAATCCAGCCTATTTTTTCAGCCGCCGGCAGGCTTGCTTCTGTGCGGGCGTGGTGTCCTCCTTCCTGCCCACCCCACCCAGGCCCCTCTTCATCAATCAATCAATCACGACTGTTTAGGCTGTATGTATGTATATGCTTTCCCTCTCGCACCCCGTCTTTTTTCCTTTTTTCTCTACAGCACTCTCTATTTTCCCGAGAAAACTCGGGGGAAATCGTCAATTTTTTGGCTCTGAGCCGAGTCTGAGGCTGTTTTGGTCCCCAAATCAGCAAAATTGGCAAAATACCGGGTATTTTGCGGGTATACCTGGAAAAAATACCCGGGTATTTTGCCGGTTTCCTCGGTTTCGCCTCAGATTTTGCCCCAGACCAGCTCTCAGACTCAGTCAGTCAGGGAAACTCGCGAGTTTCCCGAGGGAAACTCGAGAGAAACAGAATGGAGCACCAAACACCCTCTGTTTTCCCTGGAAATTTCCGGAAACGCAAAGTGCTGGAGACCCTCTGTTTTCCTTTTTGTTTGCCGGAAAAGTATATACCCGGTACAGGCCAACGACTGAGGACTGTGTCATTCATCTATCTATCTGTCTCCGTCGGGGCCGCCCGCACAAACGATCGATGGGATGGCAAAGAGAAACAAACAAGGGCACAACATCACAACAGACGACAGGAGTAACATGCGAGGCTAGAGCAGCTTTTGCTCCACCTCTAGCAATCTCGCCGTCCGGCGAGGCACGGACGAGACCGTGTGTGGGGTCTAGTGAGGTGTCTATGGACGCCCTCCTCAGAGGCTAGCTGCCTACTGCTAGCCCTACCGCTATCTCGCACTCACGGACAGTGACAATTCAATGGGTGAGTGTTAAACGCCCTACCTACCTACCTATTGCGGGCGCCAATCGCCATGCTCCGTGCCCCACCTCCAACCAATTCAGGCCGAAGCGAAAAAAAAAACCGGCCCCGCCTTCGCCGGCTGCCGTCCCGGGCGCCGCCCCACCGCGGGCGCCGCCGCCGCACCCGTCTCGGCTGGCGTCCCAGCCGCAGGCGACACGAAAATGGCAAGCATGGACGCGAAAGACGATCCGAGCCACGCCAAGCCTGCACTTCCCCTCCTCCTCGCGCCCGCCGCGCTCTACCTCTTCTCGGTCTCGCTCCTGTTTCCCATCTTTCCGTCGCTCCTGAAGTTCGCTCTGCCCGCTGGAGTGCCCGAGCGTGGCGCGGAGACCACCGCGCTGTACGGCTTGCTGCAGCAGATTAAGGCCGTCCTCGACCTCTTTACGCTGCCAGTGCTCGGCAGGGTCAGCGACTATGTCGGCCGCAAGCCGGTGACGCTCTGGTGTCTCGTGCTCGCCCTGCTGCAGCTGCTGCTCATCACGCCGCCCTCACGAACGGGCGCCGCGCCCGAGACGTACCACGCCTGCCTCGTCGCCTCGCGCGTGCTCGGCGGCATGAGCGACGGCGTGCTCGTGCTGCTGTTTGCCTCCCTGACAGACGTGGCGGACGGCGCGGCGCTGCCGGTCCTCTTCGGGAGGGTGGGACTCGTGTTTGGCTGCGCGTTCACGCTGGGCCCGCTCACCGCCGCCCTCCTCCTCGCCCGGTCGGGCGAGGTCGCCGTCCTCCTCCTCTCCGCCTGCTGCACCCTCCTCGCGCTCCTGCTCTACGCGGGCACGAGGAGACAGCCGCTAAACCTCCGCCACGAGCCTCACAGAGGCTCTTCTCGGAACCTGCTCGGAGCCTCGTGGATGTGTAGGACGGAGACCCTCCTCGCCGCGCGACGCTCGCGCCTGCCCACGTCGCTGACGGCGCAGTTTCTCCTCTCCTTCTCTCCCGTCTACCAGTTGCAGCAGGTCTGCAGCACTCTTGAACACACGGAGCGCTCGTTCGACACCACACACACACAGGCGCGGGGCCGCGCGGGACTGGCGCACACCGTCTCGCACAACGTACAGGGCGCGCAGACCGAACCAAAGCCGCCGCTGAGTCACCTCCCGACCCTCCGAGGGAATCGCAGCGAGAAGACACGGACCCACGCCCACACCAGGTCTGAGCCAGCCCGCCCCTGCGGGGGTACTAACAAGAAGACTGTGATGACGAACGATGATCACGAAGAATGATGACAATGACAGGTC